CACACACACACACACACACACAATTTCATTTTTGTTTGGTTTGTTTCATCTTGGTCCTAAGTTTACTTTGTTGTGGATCTCTTTCAGATGGGGGGCAGATCAAATGTTCAAAACGAGGTTCTTTGTCACTTTGTCTTCCCAGAAAGACCTGGTGCTCTGATGAAGTTCTTGGACGCTTTCAGTCCACGTTGGAATATTAGTTTGTTCCACTACCGTGGACAGGTCGTAATTCAACATCTTTTTGTTTGTTTGAATTTTATTAAACAAAATCTGATGGTATACTTGTTTTTCTTATGCAATAGGGTGAAACTGGGGCAAATGTGTTGGTTGGAATCCAAGTTGCCCGGGGCGATATTGATGAATTTCAAGCTCGTGCGAGTTCTCTTGGATATGACTATGCAGTGGTGACCGACAACGACGAGTTCAATCTTTTAATGCATTGAGACTTTCACATTGCTATGAAGGGGAAGCTTGTGCCTCCAGATCACGTTTTAATGAGCAGAGAAGGGAGACACTGTCTTAAATGTTTGATAGTTTATTATTGTATCTTACAAGCTTAAGAGAAGTATGTATTGAGGGGGAAAGTACGATATTTTAATTGTCTGTATTTTAAGATCATTGTTCGTGGATGTCAACCCAGGTCTTGTTTTGTCCAATCGAGTGGGTATTGGTGTCCCCTTAAGGTCTACTATTTTGTTTTGAATTAGAAAAGCGGTGTTCATGACTCATTAGCGAGTAGAGAAAAAGAGTATTGAAGGCAATAAAAGCTCCTTAATATTTATCTTTTGACTATGAGCTCAATCCTATTCTCTTTTATTTTTTATTTTTGTGCGAGTAATATTGTGAAAAACGATAACTTAGGCAAATTCTGGTTATTATTCAATACAAAAACGATAATTTGTTTTTTCTTGAAACAAAATAATGCTCCTTAAACCATATGATATTTTCGATAGAGAAAAGGAGCCATGAAGTGCCAAGAACAGAAAATGGATCCTCCAGAAACAACATGAAAATCTATTTTGATATTTCAAATGCACAGAAGATATGTGAGATTGCTGCTCTCATATACCTTGCAAAGGCTGGAACCAGTTCATATTGGGTACAATACAACTCTCTTCCTGATAGCCTAAATTATTACGTCTATTGCGGCGAGGCTGAACAAGCAAGAGAATTGTCCCCAGTGATGGCAAAAATAAGTTTTTTATTTTGCGAAGAACTCAACCAGAGATGAAATAAGTTAGTCAGCCATGCCAATTTTATGGCAGTACTTTGTGGTTCCTATCAAATAGTGGATTTTTGAGAATTTTCTTCATTTTATTAGGGGTGTGCAAGATCCAACCGACTGATCCAATTTTAATTGGTTTTCGATGATTTGGCAAATTGAATTGAATCGAATCTCTTACTTTCAATACCGACATGATTAGGGTTTAGGGATTAGTTTCACAGCTGGGTGATAGCAAATATTGGTTTTTCTCAAAGAACGGGAAATATTCCGTTAAAACTGGGTATCGTGTGGCGGTAAGGCAGTGCGATGAGGATTTTGGAGTGGGAGGATCGGATCAGAGTGCTCAAGAAGGCTTCTGGATGCGAATTTGGAAGCTTGCTGTCCCCAACAAAATTAAGATGCTGCTTTTGCGGGCATGTACTGAAATTCTACCAACTGCAGTCAATTTATTTAAGAAAAGGGTGCTTCCGTCTCATGTGTGCTCAAGGTGTGGGAACTATCCTGAAGATGCTTTCCACGCTTTGTGGTCGTGTAAAATGAGTCAAAAGCTATGGAAGTGTACCCATTTCATCCGGCGAATTAATATGGCGGGGGGCACCTTCGCTGATGCTTTTGAGGCTGTGGCTTCAATGCTGTCGAAAGCTGACTTAGAGCGCTTTGCTTGTTGTGCGTGGAGTGCGTGGAAACTACGTAATGATTCTTTGCATGGGAAACAGATTACACGGGTGGATAATATGGTGGAAAACACGATGGAAATGCTGGAAGTGTTTAAATCTTGTGAGGAGCGGTCCAAGCTCCCCCTCGTCTCTCCGCAGGCCCATTGGTTGAAACCACGGGTCAATACTCTTCTCCTTAACTGTGATGGGGCTGTGGGACGTGAGCAAGGTGATCGGGGTCTGGGGGGAGTTTGTCGTGACCACGCCGGAAACTTTATCTGTGGTTTCGCATCGTTTGGTCCACCTGGTTTGGATGTTTTGGGCACGGAGTTGGTGGCTGTCCGGGAAGGGTTATTGATGATGGGATACATGGGTTTTACTCGGTTTACCATTGGTCTTGATTCTCAAGAAGCTGTTTCTATGCTTAAAGATGGTTTGGATTGGTGGAGTAATATTGGTAATGTGGTGGAGGATGTTCGTCGGTTAATGGTTGATCGAGAGGTGGCTGGAGTGTTCTACCAACACCGGCAGGGTAATGGGGTGGCACATAGTCTAGCTCAGCATGGGTTGAGAGTGAGATCTCGCCTTTTTTGGAAAGACCGTGCTCCTCCATGGTTAAGCATTCTTTTAGATAAGGATATAGCTATGGTGTAATTCATTGTTTGTTTTTGAGATGCGGTGGTACTCTTTTTCCTTGACCGGATTTTCCCCCATTGGGGGTTTTGGATGGCAAGGTTTTAATGAGGCCACACTAACGCTCTCCGTTCATTTGTAAACGTTATCATTGGTTGGTGCTACGGTTGAATGAATCTTTCTATTTGATCAAAAAAAAAAAAAAAAGTAAGTATGGACAATTCCATCTCCCCCAATAGAGATTCTACAGGGAATTTACGTTTCCTGCTAGAGGAAATACCCCATTCTCATTGTACAATACCGCGAACAGTTTTTACTGGCGAGATTTATGCACCAAAGCTCCACGAACGAGGGTTTGGCCGCAAGCTCCCTGAGATTTTTGATAATTTTGACCACAGGATTCTATTGTTTGTGGCATATTTCTACTGACTTGTGCTATAACATGGACAAAAGCAATGCTGGTCTTGAATTCAGTTAGACCCTGTCGGATTACTTTGATGTCTTCTGGCAGAAGCCAAGTGGACAAGTAAGATTCCGGGATACATGTGCAGAAGCCAAAAGATTCTTTAGCATCATACGAATCTTTTGTCTCATCTCATGAGGACTTTTGTATATGCGAATGAGAATAAGATATTGCTCATCTGCTTGAAAACCCATATTTTTTTTAGTGTACTCATTCTTTCTTTCTTTTTCTTTTTCTTTTTCTTTTTTCCTGATGAAGTGTAGCCTACTCATTCTGTAACTTATGCTGTTTACTATCTTTACCATTTTCAAGATGCATGCCTTGAGTTGAGTCTCAACTTTTGATCTGATAGGAACCTGTTCAGAAGAATCGGAGATTGCGTTTGATGAAAGGCTCTTCTCATATGATATTGACAACTAGACTTTGATTTGGATCCAGAAAAACTGCAGACTAAGGTAATAATTGGTCTTAGAACTCCAAGTTCTTAAAGGTCTTCATGATTTGTTAGGAACATTTAACGTGAAAAATTGCAGTGATTATTAAGTGATGAGGAATTGACCGAATCAAGACAATCCCTTCATTGAGAAACTGAGCATCAACTTTTCCAACTGTCCAATACAAGCTGTGGAAAATATACAACTTTTCAAACTGAGTATTAATACCGAATGTAATACTTAATCTTTAGGTGGCTTGGCTTCTTGATGCTCCGTTCGTGCGCAAACCTCCATTCTAGCTTTAGCTCTCCAGTGGGATCTCTTGCCTGGATTTGTAGTTGATTTTGGCTCATGAAAGCTTAAATAGCTAGCATATGCCCTTATTCATGGTAAATTTTCTTCCATCTATTTAACTAATCAGACGTTGATAAGGTCTTTCCATTTTGGTAGGTAGAAGTTTACACGTTCATAAATAAATTAACATTTTACATTAGTAATTAATTGTAGATAAGTGAGTCAAAAAGCCAGAGGCGCTTTAATTAAATTCAGTTCGCTTTATTAGTGACAGTGACCTTCAAGTCTTACTTTGACAGCTGGGCTGGGCCACAATGTTCCCCAACTTGTTTGGAATTTTCCCTGCTAGTATTTATTTAGCTTCAATGAAGCTAGTTTCAAACCTTCAAGCGTAGCATGACTTACAGAGTTGACTTCCAGCAAGCAATTAGCATGGCTGAGAAGTATCATATCAGTACTGGACCAATAAGAAATTAAGCACAATGTCATTAGCCTTCTGCACAGCTTAATTGGTTTGTGCTTCAGACTTTCAGCTTCAAGTCCACTCAACCCAGCAGGTTTTTCCTCTATCCTTCTTCTTATCTTCATTTTCGGCCTTGTTTCTTTGCTTTGGCATGAATTGTTTATTTGGGGTTGCTTTCTCTGTTGCCAAATTCCTAATATTATTGTTGGCTGTAGACTCTAGTTCATGAACCGTTAATCACCTTATACACTATGCTAATCTTTTTTAAACACCCTGCTATGCCTGTTAGTCATCAACTTAATATCCTGATTACCGAAAATTTGTTTGAGCTTGTCTATGAATACATTTCAGTTAAATTCTTTTCTTGTTTTAATGGGTTGTGTTGTTAAATGTATCCGAAACTCCATTTTATGTTGTTTTTGTTCTTCAAAAGCCTCACTGCATGCTCAGTATAATGAAACGAAGGTGAAATTGGCAATTTGGGAGGCAGCCTTTTTTATCCCATAAGTGTCTGCCATCCTAGTGAAGTTGAGGTCAGTCTAGTTTTTCAACAACGCCAACAACTAGGGTAGCTAGTGATTAAATCCACTTCTGGCTAGCCCAAAACTACAAAGCTGCAGGTAGTAAGTAACTTTTGCAGTTTTGGCCACTCACCATCCATAATGATTAGATTTCCTGCTACAATACCCATTAGGGAAAACTGAATTTATTTTCAGTATGTGCTTTTGCAATTGAAAAGATCCCATCCGGTGATCGATAGACTTTGATCACCAACATACCATTACTAATGTTTATTTATGTTAAGCGTGAACAACAAAGTGATTTTATTTATTCAACAATGGATGGATACAAGGCTTTATGGAGGACTAGGCTTATTGTCTTAAATTCTGGAATGCCTACAACAATTATGTCTTAAAGCTTGACTTTGTCAAAGTTTGTGGATATTTCTTGAGGTTTCTACTTTTTTTTAGATTTTCCTAAATTCTTCAAGACAAGTGTGTATTAAATTTAACAATTTAATATCATATTAAGCAGAGAATTTCAAATTTGTCCTTGTGCTTAATTGATTTGTAGAAGCTTTGCAATTGCTGAATTTCTAGGATATGGTTTCCTCCATAAATCCCATTCCTAAGAGCGTCAAGAAGCTATGGGAAAGGTGGAACCTCCGGAGCTTTATCCTTTTAAGCCTCACATTGCAGACCATTTTAATTCTTGGTGCACCCTTCAGAAAGCGAGCACCCAACTTGGCGATAATCTTCATCATCTGGTCATCTTATTTGCTGGCTGACTGGGCTGCTAACTTTGCAATTGGGTTAATCTCTAACAGCCAAGGCGATGCTCGAGGTACAGGCGATAACAATGAGGATCTTTTGGCATTTTGGGCTCCATTTCTCTTGTTACACCTTGGTGGTCCAGACACCATTACTGCGTTTGCTCTTGAAGATAACACGCTGTGGCTAAGGCATTTTCTTGGCCTCATATTCCAAGTTATAGCTGCCATATATGTCTTCGTTCAATCATTTCCCACCAACAAGCTGTGGCCATCAACAATCCTCCTGTTTCTGGCAGGAACCATCAAGTATGCTGAGCGCACACGCGGTTTGTATCTTGCAAGCTTGGA